AAAAGGGAGAGGGAAATGGGGGGTGAGGAGGGGGGGGGGGGGGGGGGGGGGGAGAGAGAGAGAGAGAGAGAGAGAGAGAGAGAGTGTGCAATTGGCCATATAAGTTTTCCCTTGTAACAAATCCCCTCTTACACAGGGGTGGCAGGTTTGTAGAAATTTTGGTGGTGCCCAGAATGCCCAGAGCCCGCTCCCTCCAAACTCCGCCCCCACCTGCCTAAGGCTCTGGGAGGGTGTTTGGATGGGGGGAGGAGGTCTGGGGTGCAGGCCCTGGGCTGGGGCATGGGATTGGGGTGCAGGAGGGTTGCAGGCTCTGGGAGGGAGTTTGGGTGGGGGAGGGAGTCTGGGGTGCAGGCTCTGGGATGGAGTTTGGGTGCAGGCTTTGGGCTGGACAGGAGGTGCAGAAGGGGGTGAGGGGTGCAGGCTCTGGGAGGGAGTTTGGAGACAGGAAGGAGTGTGTGGGAAAGAGGGACACGTGGCTGGGAGCACTGGGGGGCAGAAGGTGGGGCCGAGGGAGAGACCTGGCCTCAAATATTCCTGGTGCCCAGGCACCACGGGCCCATAGAACTCACCGCATAGACTCTTGTATACTGCTGCTAGAAGAGATTCCGGAGCCAAAAGCGGACTCTGTAAAAGTCACATTCTAAGCAACTTTGCACAGCATGAAAACACACAGGGCTTCTTCATATTTTTTATTTCAGATGCAGTTGTGAGATGGGGTTTGCAGCAGCCGAGGTTTTAGTATGATGAACGAAACTGATTGGCAGGCAGCAGCACTGCTTGGATGCTAGGCACAGCCGCTCATTAAAAGATCCAGCTCTCCTGTGGAAATAAACGTGAGAAACAAGAGCTACTAAGGGAGTCTTGTACAGGGAGTGTCTAAAGTATTAACTCATAGCACATTGGCTTTCCTACGATGCTGACCTGCCTCCTATTCTTCCTCCCCACCCCCATCCTCCACAATGGGTTTGAAAGCAGTACATCGGTTCATGCTGACAGTATAAGCACTAGTGTATATAGAGAAATCTCCAAAGGTCAAGGGGGGAAAGGATGCCATGGAGAGAAGCTTACAGGCTGCTTCATCTCTCCCTGCAGCCTTGCCCTACCCCACAGATACACACCCCTCCCCCGCAAAGCTGCAGAAATCAGACCGTGCTTTTGCAACTCACAAGTTCTCCCCTGTCTTGAACAGTAATCCCAGTCATTCTTGGCGAGTCTTAGTTTGCTATTTACAAATGGCTAACCAATACAGCAGGTGTCATTTCCATAGATTAAGAGTCAGATCCTCAGTTGATGTATATTAGTTTAGCTCCATTCCTGGAGTTAAATGGACTTATACCAGTTGAAGATAAAGTTTTTTATAAAGGCAGTGGGCTGGATCCTCATTTTGCTGTTTAGTTTTCCTTTAACTTGGGGACTGATAGATTTCAGTTACATTACTTCAGGACTCTACTCTCTGCTATGGGCTACTTTCGTTCAACAAAATATACCCAGAAATGTTATTGAAGTATAAGAACATAAGATAAATGCCCACTACTTCCAATTACACCAGCTGAGAACCTGGCCCCATGGATTTAAATGTGTCATTGGAAAAAGAAATGCATATTTACAGAGTAAGGTCTATTGTGACTCCCTTTAGAAGGTTAAAAAAAATGTATTTTTATTTTGGATTAGAGACAAAATTTCTACAGCATTAATGTTCTCTAAAGGTCTGGATTTCAAAAGGAAGAGCAATAGTCACAGTCGATTTCCAGGAGAGGCTTTTGTTTTATGCTGTCTCATCTCCTCTGGTATTCATTAGAACAGCTAAACACTTTTTAAAAACTATGTTGTATATACACATAATACAGACTTTCTTTAACAAAGCCCACACAGAATATTGATATTTAAGGGGGAGGATCAGAAGAATGAAGGATGCCTAGATGTAAGCAGCAGTGTTGCTTTTTACAGATTCAGACTAACACGGCTACCCCTCTGATAGATGTAAGCAGCTACACATATCACTACTTATCTTAAAAAATGAATTACAGTAACTACAGCAATACATTTAATTTGCAAGGCATAGCTACATATGTTACACACAGTGCTGCTGGATACTGCCGGAATCCAGAATATGTTAATATTACTTATTACTGAGTATTCCCAGATGATCTCTAGGAAGAGGGAAAAAAAACATACATCTTTCCAACAATATTGACAGAGGTTTTTTAAAAAAAATTATATGCATACAGCAGTAAGCAATCTAGTATGAAGCAGGACCCTATATGTGTATTACTGATTGCAGCTAAGAATAACTTCCACATTCAAGAGAATTCTTCCTTCTGTGCTTGTAAATAATGCAGAACCTTTGGTATCCTTGATTAACAGCAGTGTTTCCACAGGAGGGGGAAGGTGTTTCCACATGTTGACCTACAGGATGGATATTATGACATCCTCTTGCCTTATTGCTTATGAAATATTTGGGCAGAATGGGTATGTCTACATTGCAATAAAACACCCATGGCTGGCCCATATCAGCTGACTTGGGCTTGCAGGGCTGCGAAAAGCAGTGTAGTCATTGGGACTCCACGAGAGGGAAGGGTCCCAGAGCCCACGCTCCAGCCCAAGACCACACAACTACACTGCAATTTTATATAGCCCTGTAGCCCAAGCCCCACAACCTGGAGTCAGCTGACATGGGCCAGACACAGGTGTTTTATTGCAATGTAGACATACCCTCAGGCACGGATCCAACAAAGCACTTAACCATGTGCTTAACTTTAAGTGCATGAATTGTCCCACTCTGGACAATGACTTAATGTGCTTAAGGGATTTGCTGGATCAGGACTTTCAGTTCCATCCTGAACTTTTCCATCATCCAGGCATATGAAGATGTGGGTACTGCCAGATCCCTAGACTCCAAAGCTACCTTACACTCTGACAGTGATTTACACGGAGGGCAGCCCTTGCACATGTTCTACTGTCAATGGTACTTAGCAGGTCTTGTGATTTAAAAACACTAAAAGCGACTGCTACTAGAACAAAAACATATTTGGGGCCAGATTCTCAGCTGTCACAAGTTGTCATAACTCTATTAACTTCAGTTGTTCTGTGATGACAATTCACCCAAATTGAGGATCTGGCCCCTCGGTATTTTTGTTAGTCAGCAATGGGGGAATGCAATGAAAGCAATTAAAGTTGTTTCACAGGGTCCTGCTCATCCAGCTTCCTTCACGCCAAGAGAAACCCACAGAGGAATGAAAATAAAAAGGGGTCCCTCCAAAAACAAAGCTTACTTACCATTTACTCTGCCTTGCCCCCAGATACTGTGTTTACTATTATGTGAAAAATATAGCTGAGAATCACCACAGAGAATTAGCCCAGGTTTCTGAATGAGAAGCAGTTCACTAAGGGCTGGTCCACACTTACCCCCCAGTTCGAACTAAGATACACAACTTCAGCTACGTGAATAACGTGGATAACAGCGCTATATAAAAAAAACTTAATAATTTACTTTTTTGTTTTATAAATAAAAGCACATTACTCGTATTTTAATATCAATAGCCTTACCTTTCTAATGTGCCCTCTCTCCCGCACCGCAGCAGCCCCTGAGCTGGGGCTGGGAAGGAGGGGAGGGGGTCTCTCTCCTGCCACAGAGCTGAGGCTGGGAAGGAGGGCCGTCTCCCCCAAACAGCCACAGCCCTGGATCTGGGGAAAGTCGCCTCTTTCTCTGGCCGCCACAGCCCTGCAGCTCCCAAATTCCTCCCCACCCCCTGTTCTCACCCCACTACCCACTCTCACCTACCGCCATCCTTCCAACGCCTCCATCTCACATGTGCATCTTCTCCAGGGTCCAGGCACCTAATTAGTGGAGCCACGCCTACGCGGCTCCATTAATTAGGTGGGTGACCCTTTATTGTTTTGTGTGCGGCTGCCCAGGCGCACACCTTAGGGTACGTCTTCACTTACCGGAGGGTCCGGCGGCAGGCAATCGATGTTCTGGGATCGATTTATCGCGTCTGGTTAAGACGTGATAAATCGATCCCGGAAGTGCTCGCCGTCGATGCCGGTACTCCAGTTCGCCGAGAGGAGTACGTGGCATCGACGGGGGAGCCTCCCTACCGCGTCTGGACCCGCGGTAAGTTCGGACTAAGGTACTTTGAATTCAGCTACGTTATTAACGTAGCTAAATTTGCGTACCTTAGTCCGAAGTGGGGGCTTAGTGGGGACCAGGCCTTAGAGAGAACTATCTGCAGGCCACCTGAATGGAGCTCGCAGACCACTGGTGATCCGCGGACCACAGTTTGACGACCACCGACCTCATTTATTAAGTTCTCTCACAATAGTCCTGGACAATCTGGGTCAGATATAATCAGTTCCCGATCCAGAGCACACCGTCCATTACAAGTGGCAGCAGACTGCATGTGGACTTGTCCAATGTGAATTATACCTGGTTTATATAAACCTTGTTGATTTTAATATTTACAGAAACATCAGATAGGGATGCTGAGAGACATTTATATCTATTGGGCTACATGCAAAGAGGCTCTCTCAAGCTGCCTGGTAACAAAACTTTCTCAAAAGCCTATGAAGACAAGCAACAAGGCGGTTGAGACATTATGTGAATTTCTTAATCCAGCATGCTGGCCTGTGTCCTCTGCAGTGCCACAGTTGCAGAATTAGCCATAAAATCAACCCCCTGGTTCCCGATGCTCTAAAATCCAAGTACATGTTAAATTACGTATTTCCTATATATTATTATACCCTCAGTGTTGCAAAGAAAAATCTTTAAAAGATTAATCAAGTGTAGCAAATGTACAGTGGCCTAGGGGGGTTAAGCAGAAAGCCTGAAACAATGTTTCTGAGAGGTGTGAACTATCCCATTCAGTGCAATGTGTTATCCCTGAAACCTATGATGACAATCCAAATGTCCACATCGTTAACTGCTTCCCTGTTAAACATTTTAGCAGAAATATCCAGGAATGTGCTTATTAAAATCCCAAACCGCCTGCTGACTCAGAATTACTGGCTAAGGCAAAGGGGCTGTTTAACTGTAGTGTAGACATTCAGGCTTGCTCTGGAGCCTGGAGTCTGAGACCCTGCAAGGGGGGGAGGGTCCCAGATCCCAGGCTACAGCCCAAGCCCAAATATTCACAATGCAATTAAACAGCCCCTTAGCCCAAGCCCTACTCAGGTGGCATAGGCAAGCCGTGGGTGTCTAATTGCAGTGTAGACATTCTGCAGCAAGGGAGATTTAGGGTAAACCCATTACTTCTTGTCCTACCTTCATGACATGAAGAACAATTGATTATAGTCCTCTTTCCAACAGCCCTTAACAGAGTTTAAGACTGTTAGTGGGTCCCCCCCCCAGTCTTCTTTTCTCAAGACTAGTTTTTTGTTTTTTAAACCTTTCCTCATAGGTCAGATTTTCTAAACCTTTTATCATTTGTGTTGCTCTCCTCTGCAGTCACTCTAATTTGTCCACATTTTTCCTAAAGTGTGGCACCCAGAATTGGCTACAGTACTTCAGCTGAAGCCTCACCAGTGCCTAGTAAAGCAAGACAATTATCTCCTGTGTCTTGCATCTGACCCACCTATTAACACACCCAAAAGGATAGTATCTTATTGTTGAATCATATTCAATTTGTGATCCACTATAACCTCGAGTTCCTTTTCAGCAGTACTCCCACTTAAACAGATATGCCCCATTTTGTAGCTGTGTGATTGATTTTTCCTTCCTAAGTGAAGTACTTTGCACTTCTCTTTATTGAATTTCATCTTGCTGATGAACTAATTCTCCAGTTTTTTCAAGGTCCTTCTGAATTCTAATCCTGTCCTCCAGAATGCTTGGAACCCTTCCCAGCTTGGTGTCATCTGTAAATTTTATAAGCATACTCTCTACTTCTTCATCCAAGTCATTAATGAAAATATTGATTAGTACCAGATGGAGGACTAACTACTACAAGACTCCACTAAATATGCCCTCCTACTTTGATAGTGAACCCAAGTATGGTCTTTCAAAAAGTTGTGCACCCACCTTATAGTAATTTAACTTGGACTGCATTTCCCTAGTTTGCTTATGAGAAGGTCAGGTGGACTGTTTCAGAAGTCTTACTAAAAATCCAGTAGATGTGATATAGCTTGTTTCCCCCGTCCACTAGGCCAATAACCCTGTCAAAGAAGGAAATTAGGTTGGATTTGCATGATTTGTTCTTGAGAAATCCATGTTGGCTCTTCCTTATAACCCCATTTTCTTCTAGGTGCTTACAAATGGATTGTTTAATGATTTATTCCAATATCTTTCAAGGTATTGAAGTTAGGCTGACTAGTCTATACATTCCTGGGTGGTTCTTTGTTCCCCTTGTCAGAGATAGATACTATGTTTGCCCTTCTTCAGTGCTCTGGGTTCTCACCCATCCTCCATGAGTTATCAAAGGTAATTGTTAATGGTTCCACCAAGGCAACAGCCAAAACCTTCCCTTTCCTCCTCACAATTTCTACAGCATAATGGAGTTAGGAGTCATCAATAAAAATAAAATAAAAATAATAAAAACCCCTCCCCTTTTTAATGTAAATGAAGCTGTTGCAGAATTTCCAGTCTATGTCACCAGAGTGCCGTGGAAACCAGAATGTCTTGCTGTAGAATTTAGGTCCCACTTTCACAGATAAAAGTATTCTTTGGAAAAGGAGGGGAAATTTATTAGTTAAACGTATTACAGCCCCCACGTAAACATTAACATGGAAAAGGACATGAGCATTTAGCAAAAAGTGACATAAGCAATGGGGGGCGAAAATCACAGTTTGGTATGAGAGCTAATCTAAGCAAGTCAGTTGTCGGATATGAAAAAATAAACTGTATTTTTGTGAATTGCCTAAGAGGTATCACCCCATTGTGTTCATCTCCATAATAACTTAAGACTCTTTACAAGACTTCTCCCAGCAAAGAGCTCCTGCCCAACAGATGGCTCTGAACTAGCATGTTGTAAGAGTCTTTTGTCTATGGACACAGAGGGCTTGATCCAAAACACATTGAAATCTATGGAAAGATTCCGTTGGGCTTTGGATCCAACCCATCGAGTCGGAGAGCAGAGCATCACTAAAAAGCTGTTAAATATAAGGATATTGTTCAAAAGAATTAAAGATGCTGGACCTGATTATGGCTACCCAACGAAGGTCTGCTCTTGTAAACACTTACGCCCGTGAACATCTTTATTCATGTGTGCAGTTTCACTAGCTATTTGTACATAAATGTCTGCAGGACTGGGCCCTGAGAGAGACGTTACAAATGAATTAGATCATTCATAAAAAGATTTCAAATGCCTGTCCTTTTATAGATAACCAAGCTTCTGATTGGTTTAGTCGTAGCACACATCACCCAGTCTGAATGCAGTGAGTCTATCAGGCTATAGTAAGCAACTGTCATTCTCATGCTTTAACCTTCATTGGATGAAATTATTCAATCTACATCAATTATTTGGCACAATAGCAATAGAGGTAGTATAATAGAACACTGGCACAGTAATATTCTACCCTATTATCATTTAAATGAAGTTACCCAGGATAGAAACCCAACACTCCCTTAATATTGTTCTAACCTGTATTACTTTACTCTCTGTCAGGATGTCCTTAAAGCAATATCCATCTCCTTCCATAGCAGCATCCCCAGTGACTCAGTTTCATAATGCTATCATTGCTTTTCATACCTACACAGTTTCAGAGGTGTAGAATTCAAGTTAATTCTCTCTCCTCACGAGTAGTAAATATTAGAAATAAAGAACCCTTGATGTGACTCATGCATCTGCTCCATTTCACAGTGTTTATCAGCAGTTCATCTGCTCACCCATATGGGCTGTCTCATTTTTTAATAAGGAATTACTCAATGTTTGAGATTCATGCACTGGCACATTCCATACACTCTAGTTTATGATGAAAATAATTAGATATGTGCACCAAATTTATGCTTTTGGAGCCCTGAATGAATAGCCTCCAATAGTTTCAATTTTAAGTACAATAATTTATGGTAAGGATGTTGGTTGACTGAAAATGCCAATTTTGAGGGGTAATTGAGCAGAGTTTATAAACCCTATTATTTTAAAGCAAAAACAGGTTAACATAATCGTGTGTTACCAAAGCAGGGCTAGTTGCCACTTTGACCACTTTATTGTACCTGTCCGACATCCTTTATCTGTTTGTCTGTCTTTGACCTGGGAGCTCCTCAGAGCAGAATACCAATATCTTCTTTTCACTTTGGAAAATCCTATCATACTGTAAAGGTTTCTGGAAATGAATAATAACCTGGTTCTACTGAGGAAATAAAATTAATTCTTCCATAACCTCGGCAGCACAATTTGACCTCTGTTGCTCAAATGCTGCCTTGGAGAAGAATTTGCTTCATTTTTACTGATGATGTTTGTGAATGTTAAGATGGCGTTAGTGTACAAATCTGTTTACCTATTGGCTGAGTAACAAGGAGGCCAATGAAATATTTTTCTGCTCTGTACCACTCTTGATCCCCCTCACTCAGCCTGAAACCACCAGTCATATGATAACCTATTCCAAATTACACCAAAACTTGTAAAGTGCCCACAAGATAATTAACCTGGAACAGCAGTGAAACTAGTTTCTTAAAGCTTTAGCTGGATGGTCTGAAGATGAAAGACCAGAGACTTCTGTCTTCTAATTTTCCTACAGTCAGCAAATACACTGCCCCAGAACAAATCTTATATTTTTTATTTCTTACCTTGGCCAAGTACAGTGTTGAATGGATTATCCTCAGGATAAGCTCTAGCAGAATTTCTGACTCTAATGTTTGCTCCTCAAGTCTCCATCCTAAAAGAGAGATTAAACAAATGAAAGTCAACAAGGTTAGAAATTATTATTATTATTATTATTAGAATTGTGGAAAAGTCTAGGAGTCCTGGTCATGGACCCGCACCCCAGTGTGCCAGGCACTGTACAAACATAGAACTAAAAGATGGCCCCTACTCCAAAGATCTTACTGCTTCTTCTTCCACATTTCCCTGCTTTACATAATGTCATGGAGCTTTCAGTGGGTGGGGTTGCTTTTATAAGCTACTTTTTAGCTGTGCAGCATCACAGTGAAAGAGAAAAGTGAGGGAAAGGGTGAATGTGTTCCTCAAATCATACGTCGCATCTCATATTGTGTTCATATTCCCTGCAAGTAGACCTTGATCCAACTCCTGAAGGTCAATGGGAAACCTGCCATTGACTTTAACGAGAGATGGATCCCACCCATTGTCTCACATTGTCTGATCTTGGTGTCAGGTGCTCCTCATGTAACAATATTGTTGTCTGGACTCCAAGCTCTTCAGGGCAGAGATTGTGCCTAATGATGTATTTGTACAGTGTCTAGCAGACTGGGGCCCTGATCTTGGTTTGAGCCTCTAAGTACAACAACAAAAAAATAATAATTTTCAGAGATCATCATCATTCTTCTATATCAGACTTATTCAAGAAAAGGGCATTTTTTACTCTGACACCAAAAATTTAGATTTCTTACCCCACAAAAAATGATTGACTATTCAACCCATGGATGAAAAGAATTAAATATGCAGAATGCTTTGACTAGATACATGCACCATCCATGGATTATACAGTATATTAATTCCTTTCAGAAAAGGTTCAGTAGAAGCTCTCACAATCTATGTACTTGGAAACACTTTGTTACCCTGATTGTAACAGTTTCAGTTAGGTCTTGAAAAATTGTGAAACAAATCAACATTAATAGCAGCTTGTCTTATCAAACTGACAGCCTGAGGACTCAAACCAGAATTAAACAGTCCATTATTTTCCAGCTAACTTTACAAATTAGGAATGCAACAAAATGGAGGAAAACTTGTGATTTTTTCCCCCCAGTCTCTATTTTGTCCTTAAAATAAACCAGTTCTTCATGCTAATTTGTAATTGTATGTTTTGAAAATGCTTTAGAGTCAAGAAAGCCAAACACTGCTGAGAAATGCGAAGGCATCGTTTTGTAGAAGTAAACTCTACATCAAGTTCTGTACAGATTTAGATAAAATGGGCCTGATTCCACTTTAGTTTCTAGGCCTGTAGTGGTGTAACTGAAAGAGAACTCACTCATTAAATATCAGGAAGCCTGTTACACAACTGCATCTTGTTTCAGGTCTCAAATAAGTGAATCCTTGAGAAAGACAGGAAACTTCATGTTTTGGAGATTGATATAATAACCCAAATTTGGGTGGGGGGAGAAATAAGATTTCATAAATAGATCTGAGAGCAGGATGCCAATATGCCCAACTGTCAAAATCCACACATTATGTATTGTCCAAATTCACACCCTTCCAGCTGTTTGGCTTTATGAACAGAGAAAACAAGAAGAAGAATATGAAGTGCAGGGTCAAACTATCTTTTTAGGCTTGGCCACTCTTAGAGCTCTTCCCTCAGGACCGCTCAGCTCACATCCAAGATCATCACTGAAGAGCCACTCTTACCTCTCTTATTTCTGGGCAAGATAACAAGCCACCCACATTAATGAATCAACAGAACCTACCCTTTCTTTGCAGGATCAACATCTGCTGACAGGTTGCCACAAGATCATCCTGCAAAAACGTTTGTTTTTCTGCAGTACTTTTTTTTTTAAGTATCATTTTAGGTTTATAATAAATAATACTAACAATTCTTGAAACATATACAAACTACTATCAATCATTACAACACTCTTAGTATAAACTGCAGGCAGGTTAGTGGTTATGCTGATTAGGTATTTTGAGCATTATCATAACAAGGAATATACAAAAATCATCAAATATGATATACAGTGCATGGAGACATTGACTCACAGAGCATTACTATCTAATGTCTAATCTAGCTAAAGAATAAACCGCTGTATTGCTTTAATACTGAGCATTTTTAATGTCAACATTTAGTTTGTCGCCTGAAAAGAATTGAAACCAGTACTTGTCCAACAGAATGGTAAAGCTTTTCAAATTTAAATTAAAAGGGGAGGGAGCCACTAGAAACGTTTTTCAAGTATAATTTAATGGAACAAAAAACCCAGAAATCAGAAGTCAAGGTTCTTTTCAAAGATTCACCTGTCATGTCTGCCATTGATTTTCATAAGCAGTTTGCTAACCAGCCAGTGTTTTCTGATCATGTTCTCTATGCTCACAGTGAGATCATGACAGATACCCAAATTAATTTTTTTACCCAGGAGAAACCACCACACAGTCACACCCAAATTGCTAGTACTAATGCCATCTTGCTGGTGGTAGCCAGGTGCTCTTATCTGATGATACTTGACAGGCAATAGAAGAAGAGCCCACATCGTTAAAATCAGAGCTGACTATTGGCTTGGAGAAACTGACTTTTTGTTTCAATTGCAGTACTACTAAAAATACATGAAAAGCGAGAAAAGGAAAAGTGGTCTGCCTGTTGCATAGCAGACAGTTCATTATGGGATACGAGATTGATAGCACCTGCTAAACTTCCTGAAAAGGTGTCATTTTAATTTAAGCTATTACAAATGTACATTTTAAAAATAATTTCTAGCAAAGAAATACTTGCTTTTTCCTCCCTTTTGCTGAGAACTGTCCTCATTGTTTATTATAGTCAAGATTCCACTGCCTTCTATATTATTTGGTTCCTGGTTTGGATAATGAGCATATTGATGGCTTTTGTTGACTCTGCAGTGAATCATTGGGTTTTAAAGTTCTAAGAAACAGCTGGTAGTTATTCCACAGCAGGGAATTCATCTATGTGATATCCACAGCATCACATCCCTCTAGCAAGCACAACTCCAAACAAACAGTACATCAAAGACTTTAGGGAAGCTGAAGGTAATTTGTGCTGCTTCAAATTCTCAGTGATAAGTCTCTGGCAATTATTTTTGTATAGAAGAATAAAAGTTTCATAGTAATTAGGTTGTACGGATAGGCTGAGGAATATGAGTGGAGGGAAAACAGAATAAGGTGGCCTCCTGACTGACTCTCCATATAAACCACACACATAAATACACATACATACATACAAACAGACACACTTTTTTCCCCACAAGGGCTACAATTTGTAGGGTCTCCTCAAGCCCTGAAGCTTTTAATGTTTAATTTTGTACTGCCATTTTAGCTTTCTGAAGGAGGTTCAGTATGTGACAGGAATTTCAGCAGTGCAAAATTGCCAAAAGGCTTTTACCTGCTTGAGGGAAAAAAACCCAACAGTGCTATTATTGTCTAACAAACAATATGCCCCATAACCCAGATAGCTCCTCTGAATGATATGAATGTCCCACAAGAGTCCGATTCAACATCATTTCTAGATGACATTTGTATTTCCCCATCAATGAAAAAAAAATCTTGATTTTTTTTTCTTTTTAAGCAAGAAACACATTTAATTGAATGTAATTAAAAATCACTCTGCAGTCAAGAGATATTTTAGTAGCAAAGACTTTCTTGGTGAGGTTAGTAAAATAGTGACAGGCAAAACCAGGTTAAGAAACATGGTAACTAATGGTCTACAGATCAGAACAAGAACCAGTCACCCAAGCACTCACTGCCACCTCAGAGCCCTGGCCCAGAGTCCAATGTCCCATCTCCTGCCATGACAACCCCTAATGCTTCAGAGGAAGAAGATTCTCCCCTACCCTACATGATGCAGGGAGGGGAAATCCCTTCCTGACCCTTGCAGGTGGCTGCCTGAAACCCTGAAGCATGAGGAATATAAGATAACTTGGAAGTGAGCCCCTCAGCTGCTGAGCCCTGCCTCCTACCATCACAACAATCCTGTCAGAAAAATCACACTCATAAATTTGTCCAGCTCCCTCAACACTAATTAAGTTGTTTGCCCCCACAACTCCTGTTGGGAGACTGTTCCAAAACCTCATTCCTCCAATGGTTAGAAACCTTCTTCTAATTTCCAGCTTCAATTTGTTCATGGCCAGCTTATCCCCATTTGTTCTTATTTCAACATTTCCCTTTAATCTAAATTGCTCTTCACCTTGCCTGGTAAGTAAATGATCCAGGTATGTTTTGTTAGGCAGCGCTCATCATTTTGATACTGTTTGGTCATTTACCAGCTAACTTGCTTTATTTGTCCTCCCAGACACAAGTGGGAATTATTGTGGCTCTATTTTATACCTATGCCCATGGAATCTCACAGGTATTAAGGATTCTGTAGGTAAGTTAGTCCTAGACGCAGGCCTAAGCACATCCAGATGAGCCAGATACGGAAATCCCAGCATTCAGGGGTGGGGAGTTTTTTGCCTACAGGGCTTTGTTTCAGGATCATCTCTCATTAGTTGTACTATAGCAGGACATGTCCAAAGCACTTCCTCCTTTTGTCTTCTTCACAAAATCAATGCATTGGTTTGCGATAGAACAATATTGTTGCTGTTGTATTTGTAAACAGAGTGTTGCCCTGAGGCACCTTTAGCTTCATGTCATGCTGGTCTAACAATGCTTGCAAACTCCACGTCAGTTCTAACTGAAGATGGTGAACCTCAAAAGAAGATATAGGCTTGACCTGGAACATGACTCCATCTCCCCTTGCCCACCCATATTGACTAGTGTTGTTAGCCATTCCCAAGAAGGAAGCTGCGCTTCTTCAAAGGCTGCAGTAACTTACCTCCCTCCGGAGCAAGAAGGGAATAGGGAAGGAGTGCAAGTGAAAAATCAGAAGCCGTGGCCAACTTCAGTTAAAAAATCCCGAGCGCTCCAAATTTTCATAAACTGGTCGCGATACCAACCATCAATAGCGAGATGAATTCTAAAGTTTATATGTGCAGAAGCCAGAAAAAGTCTAGAATGTTACTCACAACTCAGGGTATGTCTACACAGGGTTGAAAGATCTGCAACATG